TGTCCCCAAGAACACCCATGTCTCCATTTGCCAGCAGCCTCCTTTCTTAAATCTGGTATCAATTCAACAAATACTTATTGAAGCCTCCTACGCACCAGGCCATGTGCTAAGGGCTAAGGATACAGCTATAACCTGTTACCAGATCACAAGTTCTGGTAGGGGGACAAAAGAGACATGTCTAAACCACACAAAATAGACAGGATGAGTTCTTGTGGTTCAATGAGAACTGCATAGACTTGAATTGGGGTCATTCATTCAATTCCTTTTTGAAGGATTGTAAGAGTCTAGAAAGGGCACAGGGCTGGGAGCTCCAAGGACTGCTGCTCCAGGAGTTCCCTAGTGGGTGGTAGAGACAGATGTGCCCTCACAGAATAGTGACAATGGTTGCACACGTGAAGAATGTAATCAATGTCACTGAATTACACATGCAGAGATTGGTGAATGTCTTGTATGCATTTTTACCACAATTAGGAAAAAAAAAAAGACAACAACACTGAAACAATGATGGGGAAACAATACACCCACACGTTACAGTAATGCCAGGAAGAAAGAGGTTAGTGGCATAAGACAGGCCTGTGGGAGTTCACAGGAGGACAGGCTCCCTTCCAGCCAGCACTGGAGCAACCTCCATAGAGCAACCAGGGGAAAGAGGAACATAGGAGGTGGTAGCCACTGGCCACACTATGTTGGCCAGCTGAGGGGAAGCAGTGTCGGGAAACCAGGGGCTGCTGCCTGGGTTCAACCTTGCTCTGCTGGGCAAGTGACTTAACCCTCTTTGTGTCTCAAGGTCATTAACTGAAAAGTGGGGGCGGCAATGGGTAACAGGCTAGTATGCGGATTAAAAGGAGCTCTGGTGGCATAGTGCCCAAGGCATTTGACTGCTAACCAGAAGGTTGGCGGTTCAAACCCCCCAGCCTTTCCGCAGAAGGAAGACTGGGGAATCTACTTCTGTAAAGATTTATGACCTTGGAAAACGAAAGAGGGTCACTATGAGTCGTAATCGACTCAATGGCAGTGAGTTTTTTTGAGTATGGGGATTAAATGAGCTAATAAAGGTCTTTGAGGGGTGCTTAGTACACTGTCAGTGCCAGACAAAGGTTTGCTATTTCCAGATCACGTCTGACAGGACCCTGAGGAAGGGGTACTGGTGAGTGAAACAGAGTATCAGGCTTCACAGAGCAACCAGGTCTGCTGTGGTTCACACAGGGAGCTGAGTGCACACTTGGGGAAACTGTGTCCTTGGACATGGTAAGCTCTATAGATTGAACTTGCTTCCATTTAAAGATGGCTGACTTGTGGAATATTCCTGCTCCAGGGTCTTATCAAGTTAATAAGTCAGCAGTATTCATTTTGTACACTTTCACCCCCTGCCATTTGAGAGGGTGGACTTAACTGTTGGATTATGTATGAAATTAACACAATTTAAAAATTGTGCCCCATCAAGAAGATACAGCACCCGGGTCCCACCAGTGTCCATTCATCTGAGCCTGGAAGGGATCAGGTTTAGGATCACAGAATCATCATCCCTGGCAAAGGCCAACCTATTGTAACACCCTTATTGTTAAGACGAGGAAATGGAGGTATAAGGACATTAGTAGCGTCCTTAGGATTACACAGTTTGGGGAACAGTGGCCACAAGCCAGGGTGGCATGAGGGCAAAGAGGAAAGGTGGGGGAAGAAAATGTCCAAAGGGCCACTGGACTATGCTCCATCACGGATTAGGCATGTTGCTTCATGTACACAAAGTCACCTGCACATCTGTAAATACTTGTAAAATGTGCAAGAGAGCAGACTTCATCTCTAGATCCAAAATTGCCAGTCTGGACACTGAGTTCTCTGAAGGATTCCTTGAGCCTGGTGTCAGACTCTTCCAGGGAGTGTGAGCTGGGCACTGAGGCCCTGCTGTTCACCACAGAGTTGGCTACTCTGGTAAGTGCACACTTCAGAGAGCACCGACTCTCGCTGTTAAAGGCAAGCTAAGTGGGTCACAGAACTAAAGCGAGGACACAACCACGCTATGAGAACAGGCACAAGGGTGTGTATGATTAATGTTTTAAGAAGGGTGGTGAGGCACTAGAGTTTTAAAATCTGTTTTTAATTTGTGTTGCCTCACTAAATTATCGGGTGATGTTAAACAAGATCCTTAACTTCTCGGTGCCCATTTCCCTCAGGAAAAATGAGAACAATGAGCATGGGATCGGAATGTTTTTCTCTGCTTTTTTATAGCTTGAAGAGACCTCAGAAATGATATAATCTAAAGTTGCTGTTTCAGATGAGGAAACTGAAGCCCAGAAAAGTTAAATGCCTAGTTTAAAGAAACTAGTGACAGGAAGAACTCTGGGGACCTGATTTGTGGATCCCATACCCTTTCCATAAAATTCCACACTGATTTACAAAATGCTTTCAAAGACTTTTTGTTGTTTGCCGGCGAGTCGGCCCCGACACATAGCGACCCCTCCTTGGGTTTCCGAGGCAGTATCACTACGGAAGTAGGATTGCCCAACCTTCCTTC